GGCAAACCTCACACAAAACAAGCGGTCACAGTACTCAACACTCAGGTAGGGTACACAGTCAAACCCTTCTCTACTTCCCACTAGAGATCTTCTCCTGAAGGGATGCTACCTCAAAGTCACCCTTCTTAGTGCTTAGCCCCGATTCACAATGTAGGTTACAACAACAGAAACAAGGCCTGCAGACTCATAGACTCACCCAGATGCAAAGTCGAATTAACTAAGGGCACCCATTATTCTCCCATTTCCGGTATAGCTATACAAGCTACACTACTGATGGATTCCCTACTTAGGGTATCGCCACAACATTGGCCTTTCCCGTAATGGTAATGTAACTCGAAGTCAATAATCTTCTATGAACTCCACTCCACCTTTCTCTGCCTCAAAGTTCAAGTCCTTCTGCGTAAACAGATACTTTCAGACTCTTATTGATCAAAAACACTCAAATCTCTCACTATACAGAATAGTGCCGTCAAATCTTTAAGGCAAAAATCACAGCTGCTAACTCTAGAATCGTGAGTAGGGTGTTCTTCTCTTGTGTTTTCAACTGCCATGAGCCATAGCTACTACCTTCCCCTCTTGCATCAACACATAACCGCAAATCCTCTCGTGAGCATCAACAAGTACACTGAATAGCCCAAATCCCTCTCCGAAAATAATCCAAAACTTGGAGCGGTGGTTAAGCTAACGCTTTAGCTCTTGGAACGACTTTTCACAAGTTCTCACTCCACACAAAGTTTGACCGCTTTCCGTATCATCTAGTCAAAGGCGAGCTAGTCTGGAGAAATACTTCTACAAACCGACCGTAATTTCTCCGCGCCAATCCCAGAAAACTACGAATCTCGAAAGGCATTCTTAGGCTATGCCTCAATCCTTGCATGCCTCAGTTTTGAATGAATCATACCAGTCACCTCTTCCCCTGGAAACCACATGGCCTAAGAACTACCTCCTTGAGCCAAGAACTCACACTTTCTAAACTTAGCATACAACTTATAGGGCTCTAAGCAACTCAGGCACCACTCAACATATGTTCCTCGTGCCCCCCTCAGAGGTGACTAAATTTAGATGTCATCCACAAAGGCAACCACAAAAGGAACTTAAGAATTCCCGGAAGGTCTGATCGTCAAGTCCGATAAACACAGTCGGCGACATGGTTGCCCAAAACGGCATCCACCAGAAAACTCATAATCGGCCACTAAAGAATTACCGCTATAGAATGCCCGTGTCCCTTTCGGGATATTCCTTCCTCCTTACCCTCAATTGATGGTAAACCCGATCTCAAGTTATCTTGGAGAAAGCAATAAGACCCTTTCAACTTATTCAAACAAATCATCTATAGAGGCATAGGCTATTTTGTTCTTAACATCACCCGGTTCAATTTTAGGTAATCAATAAAACTGGCAAGGCCTCCATTTGCTTTCTTAGCAAAAGAGGGCCGGTACTCCCCAAGGCGAAGTACTAGGGTAATAAACCCTTATCTGTAATTCCAAGAGTTGAATCTTCCGACTTCTTAGCTCAGCGTGTGCAAAATGATTACGGTGCCATGGAAATCGGTGCATGCCAGGCACTAAATCAATAGAGAACTCAATCTCTCGGTGAGGTGGTAAACTAGTAAGATCCTCGGGAAAGACATCAGAATACTCACAAACCACCCTTTGGTAACTCAACTTAGGCCTCATTACACTCAACTACTCGTAAGTAGAAGAAGACAATTAAGTTCACTTTGCCCATGTGGTCCATACCCGGTTGGTAAGACTCTACCAACCCGATCCCCCAAGAAATGAAAACAATCGCCGTTATGGTACATACAGTAACCCTCTGACGGTAGCAATCTATAACAGTCCGATATGACGATAACCAGTCTATATCCAAAATAACATCAAAACCAGACATATCCATCAACTAAAAGGAAAAAGGAAGCCGACAATCGGCGACCTCTATATCAACAGCCCCAACACCCCTGCTTTAGAACCATCTCATCCCCAATAGGTGATACAACACAAAATAGAAGATACTAACTGTGCCGACTCTAACCCCAAAACTGATGCAAATGCAGAAGATATAAAAGAGTGGATGTACCCGTATCAATAACACACTAGCCATTGAATTGCAAACAGAAAGGTACCTTCACTGTTGATGGAGGCAGGCACAAAATTTGGGGCTGTAACAGCATAACGCACCCCGTAGGCCTCTGATCAACCCGCTCACCTCTCAGAGCATAAGACTGCTGCACTGACTAAAGCCGAAGAGGCTCCCTGATTGGCCCTCGAGGCCCGTGCTGACTGCGATGGCTGGTGACTCTCTGTCTGCCTCGAACCAGATGCACCTAGTGTACTACCAACTGCAGACAAAAACCTCTTTCATGTGCCCCACCTGCCCACACTGATAACAAGTGAGCGGCTGGCCTCTACCCTAACTCTGGCCATGAGAACAGGCCAAAGATGATGTTGTTCGTTGTCCTCCTCCCCTCTCTAGGCAAGCTGGAGACTTGTGGCCAACTGACCACATTTGTAATGGTGATGTCTCCCTGACCGCCTCTCCCAGAACCCGAACTCGATACCGGAAAGATAGACCTCGAGTGTGCCCCTTGGGATTGTTGGGGTTAGAACCCCTCTGCCTCTTACTGTCTGCTCTGACTATCCTGGCTCCTCTTGGAGCCCTCATCCTCTCTTCCTCTGCGTGCATGATAGCCTTAAGATGCGCTGCGGCTCCACGAGGGGCCCATAGTCTTTAATCATGGACTTGGCAACTCTAAACATGAGTTCAGTCCTCAATCTCTTCTCAAACTCCAGACAATGGCGCTCTTCAGTCGCCACTAACTCCGGTGCAAACCTAGACAAGCTAGTAAAAATGGCATCAAACTCAGCCACTGGTGTATTCAACTGCACCAACCTGGAGAACTGATCCCTCAACTTCTCCTCACCGTAGCAGGTAAGTACTTGTCCTGGAAAACTTCAACAAAGGCCTCCCAAGTCCTTCCAATGCGCCCCGCGCATACTTCCACCACTGACCCACGTCCCCTTCAATTGGAAGAACGCCAAGGTCACCCTTAAACCTCCATCTGCGATGCAAGCATCTCAAATGCCTTCATCATCTGCTCCAACCACTCATCAGCCTTCAATGGCTCCTTAGGGTCACCCAAAAACTCGTCCGGATTCGACTGGAAGAACTCCCTCTTCAGAAAAGACGGCCCTGCCTCAACTACTTGGGCCTGGACTTGATTCTTTGCCCTAAGAATGTCTATAGATTCCCTCAATGCTCCGTCCATCTCACGAGCTAAGGCACCCATAGCCTGTTGACCTACTGGCTCGGCCACGTTGGCCTGACCCACTCCTTTCTCCTACGCCAGAATCTCATCCGGTATAGGCATCTCATGCCTCGTAGGCCTACCACGCCTACCACCCCTACCACCACGACCTCGCCTTGACATCCTAATAAAGGTAACAAAGAGATTAGCACATTTACAAAATGTGCGGAAACTATCTCACTTGTGTCCTAAGACAATGGACAACTGTAATTCACTCCACATAAGCACATAATCACATAAACACATATGAATTTCATTTCCAGATAGTGACCATCCCATGGCATTACTAGAGTTCCAGTTAGAAACAACAGTGATCAAGTGCCTTTCCAACGGGACTCTTAGGAACCCATAGACCCGATCAACATCCTAGAAACTAAATCCCATACCCATATAATCACATAAGCATGTTATCATATAAACACATAACACCCATACTTAAGTCCCTAACAAGCGAGACAAACCCAATGTGGTACTAACCACTTCGCGCATACCCAAAGTATTAAAACACGGTACGCTCTGAAACCAAGTTGTAATGTCCTCAAAATATGATATAAAACAACCACTCAAAAGATCTATAAATATAATAGTAATGTTATATTTTCATTCATCAGAGTCAACATTACAAAAGATATTACATGCATTATAGTTTCATAAATGTTTATCTTGAAACTATTGCATGTAACTCTAATTGATAACAACAAAATAAATGCCCTATGGGCTTACATCTGTCCAAGACTTCGCTTGGTTACAACAAAAGAAGAGTCTAAGTCTCTATATATGTCAAGCCCTCGGCTTGATTAAACATTCAACACAGAACGAAATAACAAAATGGAGCCTCCAGCCCCTAAACCTCCCAAGCTATGTCCTTGGAGGTGGCATGTCACTTGTACCTGAAAATGGTTTCCCAAGTAGGGTGAGCCAAAGCCCAGTAGAGATATGCTAAAACAATATATGAGATTTAACTAAGGCACAAGCATCAGATAAATGTGTAACATTCTTGACCAACCTATATTCCTTCTGAGACCATTCAATATATATAACAATATCTCGATTCATTTCTAATCATCAATTTCGGGTAAGTCTATTTGCCAAGTTCATTATCATCTAATCAACCAAAATGAGATTACAACTCAAAGGTTCACAATTTAATGCATTTTTCAATCCAATACTTCTATTTTCTTGGCATTTTACGGAGTTCACATCGAGGGAACCGGCACTCATAAATACATAAGATTTTGGGACTTTCACCCTGGACACTCTGGCCAACTTAATTTACAGTGGAGTCTATCCCCTATCTCCTTCCATACAATGGAGTACATCTCCTATCTCCTTCTAAACAATGATACATATACAATTTATTTAAATACGATATCATATGCAATGACTAACCAAACCACATATTCAACAATTTAGCTAAGCTGTCATATTCAATGACACAATTCATATGATTAGTTTCAATTCACCTAATTCTCATGCAATTTCGACAACAATCATGGCTATCCTCCACTGATAGCCCAAAACAGATATTTCTAAATAGATAAGTAAATTTATCAAACAGATAATTTATCAAATTTCCATTAGTGAGTGATTTAACAAATTCAACTACACCATCCATACATATATAACGTCCCAATTGCATATTTCTCACATCAATTTCATTACTTACACAAAATAAATTTGATAAATTTACACAGAAATGGTTAGTGGTGTCTCACATAAGAGACCAACGACATCCAACAGAAGACGTGCTAGGCAAGTAGAACCTGAAACATTGGAAGTGAATGTCCCTGGAGAGGAGGATGACCATGTGGATGTGAATAATGATTATGCTAACGATGATGTTGGTGTGAAGGATGATGATGCCGATAATGATGTTGATATAGAGGCTGACCTCATGGAGGACAATGTTGGTGTGGATGATGACAACAAAGAACCAGTTCCGGGTACTACAGAGGAGCCTTCGTTGCTAATTAGCTTCCGTAACCATGTTGTTGCCACTGTTTGAAAGAAAAAGGTATTTTTTGAATTTCTCAATAAGAAACTAATCATATGTACTATATGCTTCAAATCATTTGTATGTTTTATGTAAAATGCAGGAACGGGGACCTCTTAAATGTTTGAATCATTCTCAAAAGCTTGTTGAGTGGCCATGGATGTCACCAACACTCAAAAATGCTAGGTGGAGACATTTGGTTGAGCAATCTGGTCTTAGTGTCCTTGTTGATCACACATATCGGCATGGCAATAGAGTGACAATATCTGCCTTTGTCGAAAGGTGGCATCCAGAGACAAATACATTTCACATGCCAGATGGTGAGATGACTGTCACATTGGATGATGTGCAAACCATACTTGGCATTCCAGTCACTGGCTGGGCTTTGTCATGTCCTAAGTTAACAAGATACAAGGCTGCTGATTATTGAGTGCCACTTTGGGAGTGCCAGTGAATGATGCATTTGCAGAATTAGTTCAGTCTCGTGGGCAATCTATGAAGCTAGAGTGGTTGAGAATCAGATTTCATGATGTTAAAGATACAGATTATGCAAATTTCATAGAATACGCAGCCAGAGCTTACTTGCTATATTTATTAGGTTGTACCATCTTCGCTAACAAGAGTTGGACTCGAGTACCCGTTGCTTACTTGCACATGTTGACTGACATTGATGTTGTTAGCTCATATGCATGGGGTGTTACAGCTTTGGCATTCATGTATCAACAATTAGGATTTGCTAGTACGGTTGGTGTTAAACAAATTGTTAGTTACTTGATGCTATTATAAGCATGAATCTATGAGCATTTTCGTTTAGGAAGGTCTCATCCAAATTTGTCATATTCTAATGAACAACCTCATGTTTGTCGTTGAAGTCCACAAAGAGAGTCAAGTTTTACATAAGACCATTTGCACACATTACGAGAGTAGTTTGACATGTTACGTGCTAATGAGGTTAGGCATTTTATAATAGTGTCATATATTTGTAGATCGAGTGGGATCCATACCATTTATGTAGGACACACCATCCACTTCATGAGGTTGCATATTATACTGGATGTTTGAAATGCTCTGATATTGTTGAACCCTATCACCCCAATAGGGTTTTGCGACAGTTTGGTAGGGTCCAAACCATCCCACCAACACTATTATCTCCTATTCGAGCTACACAAGGCACTAAACCAGGACAATACAGAATCATGTATCAATACCATGACACGATATGGGCGCAATGAGAGAATCGTGTGTTGTCCATTAATGCTTGTAGTGTACCTATATAGTAGTGTATATCTGAATGTGTACGGGGATACCGTGAGTGGTTTGCTTATGTTTTGCACCGGGTTGTTCAAAATCCTACGCATCACTATCAGTTTGATCCACGCTTTCAACGTCCCAAGAATGATGTTACTATGGATCTTGAGTGGGTAAGCGAATTCACTTATTTCACTTTTAAGTGCTTCACCATAAATCAAACACTAAGTTCGATTTTTATCAATTTCTTTTCAGTGTAATGATGCTGCTTTCAGTGTTGGTGTTGCAGTCCATAGGCTCGATCGTGATGAGTGTGTCTTGCACCTTGACGTGCTGTATGAAACCATTGGTAGGATGCTGCAAGTTCTTGATGGACAGAGTTAACGATCTACATCGACATGTACATAGCATCAAGTCTACTATCTTAAATGTCATAGGATGGACCATACATGAGGATTGGGATCTAGTTTTTTTTTGATGTCATAGTTATGTGTTGACCTTACATGAGAGTTAGGATATAGTTTTTGTTTAATGACATAATTTTTGTGAATGTCTAGCCCGTATAGAGTTTGAGATATACTTTTGTGTTGACCGTACATGAGAGTTGAGATCTAGTTTTTTTTTTTTTTTTTTTTTATGGCATAGTTTTTTGTGAATACCTAGCCCGTACAGAGTTTGGGATATACTTTTTCCTAATGGCATAGTTTTTGTGGATGTCTTGGATCTTTGGTAAATTGGATATTTGGTTAGACAAGTAATGGAGTGTCATACTTTTGCCAGAATTTTAAATAATTTCACATCTATTTTGTATTCAATATTTACGTGAATGAAAAATTATTTTGGTGAACATATGGATTTGTTATTGTTTGTAATACATTGTAATGATATTAAAGTGTTTTGGAGTGATATGGTACCATTTGCTGGAAGTAACAATGTTTTTTTCAATGCTATGGGCCAGTTCAGTTGCACACTGCTAAACAATTTCCATTATTCCGGTGTTTAGTTGCCAGAAACAATAGATCCCTTCAGCATTTGTTTGCTATACATTTAAAGAGCCACTTTCTCCTAAACAATGTTTGTTTAATTTGTGATGGGCCTGTTCGGTAATACAATGCTAATCAATTTGAATTACTCCAATGCCATGTTACTGGATACAATTTTTTTTCCCAGCATTATGCTACTGTTCAATTGGATAATTTCAGTTTGCTTCACAACAAAGCCAGTGGAGCCCACATTGAAGTGCCTATTCGGCCACAAAATGCAAAACAATTTACAAAACTTCGATGTTATAACGCCCGAATGAATTGGTTTGTCCAGCCTTTTGTTGCTATACATTTACAAAGCCACTTCCTTCCAAATAATGTGGTAATAATTTGTGCTGGGCCTATTCGGTGATAAAATGCTAAGGAATTTCAATTACTCTAGTGCCGTGTTACCAGAAAAACTATTTTTTCCCAACATTATGTTGTCGTATAATTGGATAATTTCAATTTACTTCACAACAAAGTCAGTGGAGCCCACTGTGAAGTGTCTGTTCGGTCACATGGTACTAGACAAATTACATTTTTTCGGTGTTATTTTGCTAGAGAAAATAGATTTGTCCAGCATTTTGTTGCTATACATTTATAGAGCCACTTTGTTCCAAACGATAATTTGGGCCTAGTCGGTCATACAATGTTAATGAATTTGAATTAATCCAGTTCAATAAAAAAAATCCATAAATCAAACACGCATCTATAAAATCATACATAAAAGTATCCATAAAATTTTTCATAAGACATGCAACATCCACTTATCATTTGTAGGTAATTTTTCCCTCCTTAATAGAAATGGACATCCACACTTTTTAGAACCTATCAACCTCAATCGTTCCCCCTTGATCTTCCTATTGTCTCTATAGTAACCACTTCTTTCACAAGCAAGGGTAAGTCTTGGTTTTCTGCCATTACCTCCTGCATCTGATGTCTTTATAACAATGACAAATCTAGTCTTCCTCTCAACGTCAGAAGCTCATTTAATTAATGCTTGACGACTACTAAAAATCTAAACATATTAAGTACATTTATACGTCAAATTATTAATAAAACTCAATACACACTAAAAATAATAAAAAATCGTATTCATAAAAAAAAAAAAAACTTAACAAACCTCATCTGTAATGAATTCATGACTGGAGTCCACTAATAATGCAGTACTTCCGTTGTTGCAATGAGTATAAGTATAATCCTTCCAAGAAAAAAAAATTGAAATTGAAAATACATGGAAATGAGTAATCGAACAAATTTAAAAAATCTGGCCTTATATTACTGGAAATGTATCTTTTATTCGGCAGTTGGATACCAGACTTGTATTTTTTGTTCAACAGTTGGATACTGGACTATGTTATTTTGTTCGATTTTGAAATGCCGAACAAAAGTCGAAGACCAGCCCAGAAAAGTGAAACGAAAACCTACCAAACAAATAAAAAAAAGCTCAGCATTTCACTTTTTTGATGGTTCACCACCATTTCTTTATCCATTGCTTTTTTCGATGATCAAGGCACTATGATTCTCACTTTTTCAAAAGAGATGTGTAAGAGAAAAAAAAAGTTGAGAAATGAAAAAGAAGAGTAGGGATTGAAGACCAAGGGGTGTAATGAGATAATCAAATATATTGAATTTTAGTGTTTTGTCCTTAAAAGTAATTTCACACATGGATAAAATTGGAAGAAAAAAAAGCCTCATATGGAGGGTGTAAAGAGGTAAAGTAGTGGTGTAAGTAGAATCACCCTATATATATATATATATATATAAATATATTTCACTTCTATCCCTTTTTAAAATTACCAAAAAAACCTTAAAATCGTAGTCCAAATTTCAAAGCATGCTCATCTTTTTCCACTATCGCTACCAGCCACCATCAATTGTCTTTGGTGACTCACATTCCCATCTCTGGCGAGCCCTTCTGTCAATTTTGCCACCTTCAGTGCCAAACTTCACCTCAATTCAAACCCGCTTCTCCCTTCACCATCGTCCCTTGCTGCTCCATCTCCTCTCATATCACCTTTTGTAGCCACCCTAATCCTCTTCCCCGTTTCCACTTGTAGTCACTCCTTGCCCCATTGCGACTCAGCCATCCCAGCCCCTTTCCTTTAACGGCAATTCACACTGTCACCTTTGCTACCTCTTCTCTCCTTTCATCTCCTCTTCGATCGCTTGTAGCTATCACCTTGTACACTATGGTGATCCAGCCATGCTCCTCACTCTCCTTCCGTTGCGCTTCTCAGCCTCACATCCTTCCAACTTCCCGAAAGCGTATGATACAAGATAGATTTGGAAAGAAGAATAAGAAAAAGAACAAAAAGATAAGGAAGTGGAGAGGAGGGTTACGCTTATTGGATGTGGTGGAGAGGATGGTTGTTGGTAGGCGAGGTTGGGAGTTGGATGCTGGAAGCCGCAGTGGTTGCGGTGTGGACTAGGGTTTAGGTTTGTAAAGACAAGGTTAAGTTTGGCATTATTAAAGGTGTGATGAGAACAAATTAAAATTGAGTGATATGTGAAAAGAAAAAGGGTAAAGGATTTAATTTAATGGTGTAAGTGGAATTTTCCTAAAAACTATACACTATCTCACATGAAATTGACAACTTTGGACAAAATAAGTCTACATGAACTCCCATTGGAGAATAAATTATTCACGGACATTTCAGAAATGTGGTTTTTACCGACATCCACTTATATAGTGCCATAAGTAATAATATGGTCCACAACAATTGTATCTCTTCTCACCTTTCATCTCTTTGCTCTGGTTTTTTTCACTATCCTTGCCTAAATCCACTCACACCCTCTGCAACCTTGTGATTTGGATCCTTTAACAAAGCCTCTATCATCCATACCAATAGCCATCAACAGACGTTGAAGAGCCCACGACCACTGACCACCACCATATATTTATGCTTAGAATCTCCTCTGATTGAACCCATCATCACCATCACATATACAAATGGAAAGCCAATTCAAAGAAAAATAGATTTATGATGGGTTCTTAATGAACGACTGGTGATTTAAAAGTTTCTGTTTGTTTGTTTGTTTGTTTGTTTTTTTGGGGTCTATTTTTATGTTTAACCCAATGAGAAATCTGTGTGTGAAGATCATAGTCTTATCCTCCAAACAAACCCCCATCTTTTGCATCTTCTCTTTCTCTTTT